GAGACGAACTTCTCGGGGACACCGTTCCTCAGAAGGCACTGCCACAGTACTGTACGATCGACAGAATCGAAGGCAGCACGGATATCCAGGAACACAGCAATCGTTGGCCTCTGATACACATGGCGGAGCTCGAGGATCTGGCGAAGTGTGAAGATTTGATCGATGCAGCCGCGACCAGGGCGAAACCCAGCTTGTTCTTCTCGCTGCAACGATTCGCGTGTTGGGGATAGCCTGCGAAGTATGATGGACACCAGCAGCTTGCAAACGACGGGGACTAAACTTATTCCTCTGTAGTTGGAGCAGATTGTGCGCAGGCCCTTTTTGAAGATGGGTACGACTATCGATTCACCCCAAGATGATGGAACCTTCTCTTTCGACCAAATTTTCGAGAACAAAACGGTGAGTTCTCGGACCAGCGATGCGCCACCATCTTTAAATAGAGCTGGGTGAAGACCATCAGGGCCGGGAGCTTTATAACGCTTCAGGTGCCGGAGCTCCTGCTCGATTTCCTGGGAAGAGGGAGGGTCTGTTGGGGTAGACCACTCGGCCCCAGCGCGAGCGCCAGAGGTAGCAGATGGAGCTGGGGGCCAACAAAACTGCGAGCCAAAATGTTCGGCCCATCGCTCCAACCGTCGTTGAAGATTGGTGATTAAGGTGCCATCCTCTTCGCATATTGTTTCACTTATACCAGATCGAACACCTTCGGTGACTCGAAGGAGATGGAAGAGTTTCCTGGTATTACCACAGAGACTGGCAAGCTCCATCTCCCTAGCACGTTCACACCACCAAGCTTCGCGGTCCATTTGCAGACTCCTGCGCAACTCTCGACCAAGGTATTGGCGTTCTTCAACGTGTCTCGAATCCGATGGGATCAAGCGGCGTTTGTCCATCAGCGACAAGGAGTCGGCGGAAATCCAATGTTTCGGTGGGTGACGCGTAACTCCACAAGTGTCGATACTGGCGGAAACTAACGCATCTTTGATATGCGCCCACTGCGAATCGAGATCACCGTCAATAGTTGAGCCAAGCAAGGTTGACAGTGAGGCTTGGTACCTGGTTAAAACCGCAGCGTTTTGTAGATTTGCGACGTCCGGTCGGTAGTGGGCGCGCTTAGGTGATCCTCCGAAACGCATGCAAATCTTAGCACGAACCAATGCGTGATCAGAGTCCAGAAAAGTTGACCAGTACGATCGGCAGTCCATTACGCTTCCGCGCCATCTGTAGCTGATTGCTATGTGGTCAAGCTGGGAGCACTCTTGCGTTTGTGAGGGCGGGCGCCAGGTAGCAGTCTGTCTCCTCGAGTGTCGAAAACTAGTGCTCGAAAGAAACAAGCGATGATCAGAGCAAAGAGCAAGTAGTCTGTCTCCATTGTCTGATCGACTGCCACCGAGACCAAAACTACCCCCAATGTGGTGCTCGCTTGGTAGAAGGCGGCCAACCCGTGCGTTAAAGTCTCCGGCAAGAATGACTATATCCGTCCGTTTGGAGGAACGCAGAAGTTCATGTAGTTGTTGGTAGAAGCTATCTTTAACTGCATCCGGGCTGCAGTCTGTAGGGGCGTAGGCGGAGACGACAAATAAGGCACGCTTAACATCTCGACGCCTGCTTACGTTACATGAACCTCTTAGTCTGACTGCACATAGTCGGCTGTTGACTGGGATCCAGTCAAGCAGAGCTGATTCAGCCCTGGCACTTAATACAACCCCAACACCAGCTTGACCAGTGGCGGCAGATTCTGGGTCTCCGGAAAGCCGCAAGTAGTATTTGGCGTCAGAGTTTACCGGAGAGGCCATTCTGATGACGGCGCTAGAGTCTTGCAATCTGGTCTCTGAAAGACAACAGATGTCTACCGATAGCGTTTCAACAGTACGGGCCAGACATGCTTGTCGTCCGATCTGCATCAAAGTTCGAACATTAAACGCTGCGAGGATGAATGGAGAACCAGGTCGGAGAAGAGCTGGAGCTTCGGTGGAGTGAGAGGCGGTTGCGATCGCAGGACATGGAGAACCGGGAGTTTGGCTGTTACTTCCATCAGCTGCGAGACGTGGGTCGTTTGTGACGGTGACCGTAGAAGACATAAGAGTACATGTAGATGAAGGACGGGAGGTGGGGTGGTCTGTGAGTGGACGTTGAGCGGTTGAGTTAAGACAGAAGAGCGGCATAGCAAGTAGTAGTAGTGAGCGGTGAAGTCCATGATTCGTCAGCGGGCGTGATACTACCCGGTTGCCCAGGCCGAAGTAGAGGGTTGTCTTAGGGGGCCCTACCCCGAGCCTTTGATCAAAGATCTAACCTACAAGGCAGCAGGGCGATGTGAGGGCGTCGCAACCCGTTGGGAGCCCGTGACCAAGTAGATGGTTCATACGCCTTTCGGTCCGTGAAGGACCAGGGGCCCAACTCACCCTTAAAGTACAATGCCTCTCAGGGGATTTAGCCAATATGTTGTTTTGACCCCGGAGACCCACCTACAGGGTTTCACAGTCTGGCATCGGTCTTTGGCCTGTCTGCGCTCGTCGCTGGAGGAGCTGCCCATGTAACTTCTTTACTGTATCAGTTGTTGACATGGTTTACGCTGTACAGGTGGAAGTTCGCGCACTAGTTTGTCGATTACCGTTTTGGTCATGTTATGGCAGATGTAGTAGGGTTCGTGTATATGTATTCACAATCTGATTACAGATAATGTGTCATCAGAATCGTGGTGAACTAAAGGATGGAAATGAGACACAACATGTGAAGAAAAACGATCTTATTCAGTTTAACACACGCCGTTTTGAGATTTTTTGCGTTTTATGCTCGATGAGACGTTAACTAATGGATAACGCGGTTGTACAACACTGTCTCCACTGATGCCTGTTGCTGCGCCATGGCATTCGGAATCATGGGTTTCCCATCCTGGAAGGCGGACCGGTCCGACGGATGCTAAGCGCTTGAGACTGCATTCTTCATGCTCTTTCTCCATATCATTGGTTGTCCACCGCGGCACATTTTCCAGTCGCTTCCGGGTAACGCAAATAACGCTGGACGGGGAAGTGATAAGCTGCGATGTGCAATACTTGGCCGAGCCAACGCATGCGGTGTCAGACGGTAACCGTTTGAAGGCATGGGTTGTTTGCTCCAAACTCCCGCTCTCGGACTTTTGCGTTACTCATGTGAAGCTGTCACCACACGCGAGCAATCCTACACAGATAAGGATTGTCGAAAACTGCCGATTGTTTTATGTCTTCCGAGCGAGTCAGCCATTTGTCGCAGCTGTACGAGAGGACCTCACGGACAGAGGCAATGTATACCCTGCCGTTGAGTTTGAGACTGACATCGCGACGACGCCATAAGTGTCTCAGTCTGATGAATGCAAGGCGGTCGTTTGCGATTTGTTGTGAGCTCCCATCTCCAATACAGCCGTCAGGTGTGATGCAACTCCGTAGATAAGTGAAGCGGTGGACTTGTTGCAGGACGACACCAGGAATGGTGAGGGCAAGCACAGAGATCTGGCAATCCTGGAGTAGTATTTTACATTTGTCAGACGTGAAACACAGGCCATACTTAGATGCCCCGATTGCTAAGCGGTTCAGAGCGCTCTGGACGGCTTGTGAATCGTTTCGGAGCAAAGGCATATCATTGGGGTAGTTCAAGTCCACGACTCTGTCATGTGGGAGAAGCTCATTACCGCCGTTTTGGGGGCCTTCCAATGTTCGTTGGACGACATCTTCATTGCAAAATCAAAGTGGAAATGTGAGATGGCGCAACGTTGACGCACGCCGCTGGTGAAAGTAAACGAAGTGGCAAGCGTGCCGTACGTCCTGGCTTTGCCCGACGTGTGACTGCAGAGCTTCTACAAGGTGGTTACAAACTTGTTCGCCACACGTGTGCTTGGTAGACGGTTCCACAATGGTTAGAATAGAAATCGATGATGGTGGCCTAGCAGCATTCAGTTGTTTGGTGTTCTTTTTGCTCCTCTGTTTTGCTTGCGAAAATGTGCCAACTTTGTTTTTGCTATGCATCACTTTTGTGTTCACTTTCTTGCAGGTGATAGCAACAACGGCATTCACATGCGTGGGGTGTAATTGTGATGAATCGCAGACCACCAGACCAGGTTTGCGTATTGGCGACGGAAAGCTGGGGACTACTCCGGAGCGCGCTCATCTCAGTGGCATTTGTCGCGTGCGTTTTCATCCTTGATGTAACCCCTCGCATGATGTGCGTTGCAGAGTGTGGCTTACTGTTTCACGGTTCGACTGTCCCATTGTGATATGCGAACCGTGCACTCAGCAAGTCATTATCTGAGCGTCGTTGTGATATTGATTATGAGAGCTGATTCGCCTTGTGGGCCCCATTTCACCTTATTTCTGTGTTCGGTTTCAGACTCGTGTTTGTGGGACTCATCGCTGCGAATAGGTGTGAGCAGCAGATGGTTCATCGTTGCATGGGCACTGCTGCTATGCCTGGTGGAGCCGTGGACATTGGTGAGGTGCGTTTTTTGCATGTCCTTTTGGTTTGTCAGTTTGTTCCTACTGGTCGTGATGTGTAGTGTGGATTAGTTTGTGTGATGAAATATGGAGTTACCGTCAGAATTGTGGTGACGAATATTTTCTGAGCATTGGGAATCGCAATGTCTTCTGTTTCATTCTCGTCATGTCTTCCTTCTTTTCAGCGGTTCGGGCCCACTTGTCGTTAAGCCCGATGTCTGTTCAGGCAAATGCCTATCGTTGCTCTCCTGTCCGCGGATGGGTTACATTACAGTTTAGTGCCGTGTCGGGACAGCAGGACTGAGTAAGTACCAGTGGCACAAACAATTAGATCTCTTTGTTGTCCCTGTGTCGTCTGTGCATGTGAGGACTTGGAGGTCTGACGTATTCAGGTATTTGTTCGTTCCTCTGTAAATCTAGCCACATACTTTAGTCGTGACATGCTTAGCTTGCTGAGTTTGGAAGCGATCTCTGTTCTGTACCACTGGTGTTCCTGAAGATGCACCGTGAGAAGTTGTAAGGGTTATTTCTCGGCAGTCATTCCGTTACCGTTCTCTCCGGTGTAAGAGACTGTGCACGTGTGGAAGAGGGTTGCGAAGTTTGCGGCATAGTGTCTAGCACACGGAGGCTGCTGCTTCTTTACATGTTACGATTGGCGTGGATTTAGCCAATATGTTGTTTTGACCCCGGAGACCCACCTACAGGGTTTCACAGTCTGGCATCGGTCTTTGGCCTGTCTGCGCTCGTCGCTGGAGGAGCTGCCCATGTAACTTCTTTACTGTATCAGTTGTTGACATGGTTTACGCTGTACAGGTGGAAGTTCGCGCACTAGTTTGTCGATTACCGTTTTGGTCATGTTATGGCAGATGTAGTAGGGTTCGTGTATATGTATTCACAATCTGATTACAGATAATGTGTCATCAGAATCGTGGTGAACTAAAGGATGGAAATGAGACACAACATGTGAAGAAAAACGATCTTATTCAGTTTAACACACGCCGTTTTGAGATTTTTTGCGTTTTATGCTCGATGAGACGTTAACTAATGGATAACGCGGTTGTACAACACTGTCTCCACTGATGCCTGTTGCTGCGCCATGGCATTCGGAATCATGGGTTTCCCATCCTGGAAGGCGGACCGGTCCGACGGATGCTAAGCGCTTGAGACTGCATTCTTCATGCTCTTTCTCCATATCATTGGTTGTCCACCGCGGCACATTTTCCAGTCGCTTCCGGGTAACGCAAATAACGCTGGACGGGGAAGTGATAAGCTGCGATGCGCAATACTTGGCCGAGCCAACGCATGCGGTGTCAGACGGTAACCGTTTGAAGGCATGGGTTGTTTGCTCCAAACTCCCGCTCTCGGACTTTTGCGTTACTCATGTGAAGCTGTCACCACACGCGAGCAATCCTACACAGATAAGGATTGTCGAAAACTGCCGATTGTTTTATGTCTTCCGAGCGAGTCAGCCATTTGTCGCAGCTGTACGAGAGGACCTCACGGACAGAGGCAATGTATACCCTGCCGTTGAGTTTGAGACTGACATCGCGACGACGCCATAAGTGTCTCAGTCTGATGAATGCAAGGCGGTCGTTTGCGATTTGTTGTGAGCTCCCATCTCCAATACAGCCGTCAGGTGTGATGCAACTCCGTAGATAAGTGAAGCGGTGGACTTGTTGCAGGACGACACCAGGAATGGTGAGGGCAAGCACAGAGATCTGGCAATCCTGGAGTAGTATTTTACATTTGTCAGACGTGAAACACAGGCCATACTTAGATGCCCCGATTGCTAAGCGGTTCAGAGCGCTCTGGACGGCTTGTGAATCGTTTCGGAGCAAAGGCATATCATTGGGGTAGTTCAAGTCCACGACTCTGTCATGTGGGAGAAGCTCATTACCGCCGTTTTGGGGGCCTTCCAATGCTCGTTGGACGACATCTTCATTGCAAAATCAAAGTGGAAATGTGAGATGACGCAACGTTGACGCACGCCGCTGGTGAAAGTAAACGAAGTGGCAAGCGTGCCGTACGTCCTGGCTTTGCCCGACGTGTGACTGCAGAGCTTCTACAAGGTGGTTACAAACTTGTTCGCCACACGTGTGCTTGGTAGACGGTTCCACAATGGTTAGAATAGAAATCGATGATGGTGGCCTAGCAGCATTCAGTTGTTTGGTGTTCTTTTTGCTCCTCTGTTTTGCTTGCGAAAATGTGCCAACTTTGTTTTTGCTATGCATCACTTTTGTGTTCACTTTCTTGCAGGTGATAGCAACAACGGCATCCACATGCGTGGGGTGTAATTGTGATGAATCGCAGACCACCAGACCAGGTTTGCGTATTGGCGACGGAAAGCTGGGGACTACTCCGGAGCGCGCTCATCTCAGTGGCATTTGTCGCGTGCGTTTTCATCCTTGATGTAACCCCTCGCATGATGTGCGTTGCAGAGTGTGGCTTACTGTTTCACGGTTCGACTGTCCCATTGTGATATGCGAACCGTGCACTCAGCAAGTCATTATCTGAGCGCCGTTGTGATATTGATTATGAGAGCTGATTCGCCTTGTGGGCCCCATTTCACCTTATTTCTGTGTTCGGTTTCAGACTCGTGTTTGTGGGACTCATCGCTGCGAATAGGTGTGAGCAGCAGATGGTTCATCGTTGCATGGGCACTGCTGCTATGCCTGGTGGAGCCGTGGACATTGGTGAGGTGCGTTTTTTGCATGTCCTTTTGGTTTGTCAGTTTGTTCCTACTGGTCGTGATGTGTAGTGTGGATTAGTTTGTGTGATGAAATATGGAGTTACCGTCAGAATTGTGGTGACGAATATTTTCTGAGCATTGGGAATCGCAATGTCTTCTGTTTCATTCTCGTCATGTCTTCCTTCTTTTCAGCGGTTCGGGCCCACTTGTCGTTAAGCCCGATGTCTGTTCAGGCAAGTGCCTATCGTTGCTCTCCTGTCCGCGGATGGGTTACATTACAGTTTAGTGCCGTGTCGGGACAGCAGGACTGAGTAAGTACCAGTGGCACAAACAATTAGATCTCTTTGTTGTCCCTGTGTCGTCTGTGCATGTGAGGACTTGGAGGTCTGACGTATTCAGGTATTTGTTCGTTCCTCTGTAAATCTAGCCACATACTTTAGTCGTGACATGCTTAGCTTGCTGAGTTTGGAAGCGATCTCTGTTCTGTACCACTGGTGTTCCTGAAGATGCACCGTGAGAAGTTGTAAGGTTTATTTCTCGGCAGTCATTCCGTTACCGTTCTCTCCGGTGTAAGAGACTGTGCACGTGTGGAAGAGGGTTGCGAAGTTTGCGGCATAGTGTCTAGCACACGGAGGCTGCTGCTTCTTTACATGTTACGATTGGCGTGGATTTAGCCAATATATATATATATATTATACACAATCTGTGGTACAGATATTGTGCCATCGGAATCATGGCTTAATAGGAAAACAATATGAATAATAAGAAAAGAGCAACAAGAAATGCTTTTTTTGTCAAGTTTACCACTCACAGTTTTTGAAATTTTTTTTTCAGTTTTTTCGTTTTTAGGGGGAGGTGGAAGGGACACCGCAACACACTGATGCACACGTCCGCCATTGACATCGATCTTGAGCCATAACTTCCAAGGTTTTCAACCAGCAAGTATCCTCGTCTCTCGGACCCCAACCAGGTAGTCGACAACAACCGGCCGAGGCCAATTGTTTCGTCAACTTTTTCATGCGGCTTCTCCATGTTGTAGGCTGTCCACCAGACCGTCTCTTCCAGCCCTGTCCAGCAAGTGCAAACAACGCACGACGGGGGTAACGCTGGACAGGCATGCGCAATACGTGTCCCAACCACCGCAGTTGATGCAGTGAGATGAGCTCCTCGAGCGAGTGGCTTCCACGTCCCAAGACACGCTGTCTAACTTCCACATTGCTTACGTGGTGCTGCCACCACACACGGGCAATGGACCGCAGACAGCGGTGCTCAAAGACGGATAGCCTGCGCAAGTCATCTTTACGAATGGGCCAGGTCTCGCATCCGTACAAGAGTACAGCACGAACAGTTGCACAATAGACCCGCCCTTTGATGGAGAGACGAATGTCGTGGCGACGCCACAAATGCCTCAGCCTAGAAAAAGCGAGGCGTGCTTTCGAGATGCGCATCGAAATCTCGTCTCCAACAGCCCCGCCAGCAGTGATGCAACTTCCCAAGTAGACAAAGCTCTCCACAACCTCCAGTGTCTCACCAGCAAGCGTGAGTGCAGGCAGAGGCACCTGCCAGTCTTGAAGGAGAGCCTTGCATTTGGATGGCGAAAAGCACATACCATGCTTTGATGCTTCAATCGTCAAGCGGTTTAATGCAAGTTGGACGACTTGTGGATCGTCACCTAGCAAGACGATATCATCAGCATAATCCAAATCAACAACTCGACTACCTGGGAGGAGCTCAACGCCAGCGTTCAACGAATCGCTCAGAGCGTTCTTCAGGACATCCTCAATGGCAAAGTTGAATAGGAACGGAGAGATAGGGCATCCTTGTCGAACTCCACTGGAGACCACAAAGGTAGGCGAAAGCATGCCATAAGCCCTAACCCTGCCCGAGGTCAGACTGTACAGAGCGCGCAGTAT